GCCCTTGCCTGCCTCTGCGCAGCAACCCTGGACTTCCTTGTGGGTGTCCCATCCAAGTACCAATCAGGACTGAACCTGCTTAGCTTCTGAGATCTGATCAGACCAAGCTAGAGTGGGCCACCCAGGCCAGAGCAGAGACAAACAGAGGTGGTTGGCCCTTGCCTGCCTCTGCATAGCAACCCTCGGCTTCCTTGGTCGTCTCCCATCCAAGTACTGACCAGGGCCGACTCTGCTTAGCTTCCGAGATCTGATGAGGTCAGGCCAGCCTGAGCCACCCAGATCAGGAAAAGAGACAGCGGTATTTCGCCATCTCCTGCCTCTGCGTAGCAACCCTGGACTTCCTTGGTCGTCTCTTATCCAAATACCGACCAGGGCCGACTCTGCTTAGCTTCTGAGATCTGATGAGGTCAGGCCAGCCTGAGCCACCCAGATCAGGAAAAGAGACAGCGGTATTTCGCCATCTCCTGCCTCTGCGTAGCAACCCTGGACTTCCTTGGTCGTCTCTTATCCAAATACCGACCAGGGCCGACTCTGCTTAGCTTCTGAGATCTGATGAGGTCAGGCCAGCCTGAGCCACCCAGATCAGGAAAAGAGACAGAAAGAGGTGGTCCGCCCTTGCCTGCCTCTGCGTAGCAACCCTGGACTTCCTTGGTCGTCTCCCATCCAAGTATCGACCAGGGCCGACTCTGCTTAGCTTCCAAGATCTGATGAGGTCAGGCTAGCCTGAGCCACCCAGATCAGAGACAGCGGTATTTCGCCATCTCCTGCCTCTGCGTAGCAACCCTGGACTTCCTTGGTCGTCTCCCATCCAAGTACTGACCAGGGCCGACTCTGTTTAGCTTCCGAGATCTGATGAAGTCAGGCCAGCCTGAGCCACCCAGATCAGGAAAAGAGACAGAAAGAGGTGGTCCGCCCTTGCCTGCCTCTGCGTAGCAACCCTGGACTTCCTTGGTCGTCTCCCATCCAAGTATCGACCAGGGCCGACTCTGCTTAGCTTCCAAGATCTGATGAGGTCAGGCTAGCCTGAGCCACCCAGATCAGAAAGAAGAGACAGAGGTGGTTCGCCATCACCTGCCTCTGCGTAGCAACCCTGGATTTTCTTGTGGGTGTCCCATTCAAGTACCAATCAGGGCTGACCCTGCTTAGATTCTGAGATCTGATGAGACTGGATGAGCCAGGCCAGGGCCATGCGGGGGGCGGTGTGTGTGTGTGTTGGAATGGGCCTACCGATAACTCCACAGCAGCTATCTGGAACCTTCCGTGGTGGCAAGGATCAGAAATGTGAAGTTAGCCTAGCAGCGCATTTCTTGAGTTCTGCATTGTCAATGGAAGGCAAGAGACAGGAGGAGTCCCCCCCCCCAATTTCTTTACTTGGAAGAGGGGGAGCGGAAAACAAAGCGAAACCCCGCTTCCCCACCCCCTTGAAATCATGCACCAGACCCACAGACTTTCACTCCTCTGGGGCCCCGGGGCTTGGGTGGCGCTTTTGGCTTTTTAAAGCCAAAGAGGCAGAAAGGAACTGAAAACCCCGTCACGGTGAAGCAGCCCCGGAGCAGAGGAGCAGAGAACAACAGCGGCTGTGGCAGAGTGTTCTTGTGCCGTGACACGCTTCCTTCCGGGCGCCTCCCTGCGAGGCCAGAAATCCAGCTCCGGGGCCCGCGCAAAAACAGGTAGTGAAACCCACACAGAAGGCGGAACACACCCGCACACCCAAACCCAAAAAGCACCGCCTGGCAGGAGACAGGAAGATGCTATCGTGCGATGCAAACTGCCCCCCCCTGAACAGATCGTTATTTTAGAGGATCGGTAGAACGGCTCGGTTTGAACGCTTTAAAGCAGTCGCTTCCACTGGGTTCCCTGCAACCGTTGAGCAGGAGTAGAGATGTGAAATTTCTGGAAGTTTTGAAGCTCGGAAGAAAACGGAAATTTTCAGAAAAATGGGAAAAAAAATGCTACATTAGCACTTCCTTTTTTCTTTTCCAGATTGAAAGTCATTCTGTTACATTAGGAACATAAAATATGACTATGGACATTTTTACTTGGAATGAAATGATCACAACTAGCCTATTAAAAATATAGCGTATCCAAACAATTATTGCAAACCGGATACCCACCCACATGCAAAAACAAAACTGAAACTTTTTTCTTTTCTTGTGACAATAGCACCTCCTAAAGGAAGAAATGCATCTTGTTCTTGCATTGGAGAGCTCAGTTGGTAACCTAGGACTTGCTTGTCCTCAGTGCACAGATATTAGATCTATCTGATACTATACGTATTTTTTAGAAATGATTAGGCAAATATTTGAACACCAAATTAGATCTGATACCATACGTATTTTTTAGAAATGATTAGGAAAATATTTGAACACCTTGTCTTAAAATATTTTATTCATGTTAAAATAAAACGTTCCATAATCATTTTTTTTCCTTTTCTTTTATTTTCTCATGTTAAAATAAAACGTTCCATAATCAATTTTTTTCCCTTTTCTTTTATTTTCTCAATTTTTCGGGAAAAAACAAAAAAGGCGTCAGGAAGAAAACGGGGGGGGGGGACATTTCCCCCCCAAAATATTTCCGGGCCTTCACATCTCTAAGCAGGAGAGAAACTGCGTTGGAAAATGGCTGGGGCAGATTTTGTTAACCTCGGGATGAGACTTCCAGTCGATGCCTCCCAGTGGTTCAGAAAGATCCAAAGCCAGGGAAATCTGCACATGCCTCTGGAATTCCCTCTAACAGAGGCACACTCGACAATCAAAATACATAAGATAATTGGGTTCCCTCGCCCACCCTAGAAATGAAGAGTAGAGAGCAAAATCCAAGAGAAGATATTGGTCAAAATAGATCCCCCCACCCACCCGGCCCCCTTGCCGGAGCCGACATTTCTGAATTTGGAGCAGGCCGGTTTCTGCCTTCTTCTGCTTCAACAGGGGGAGATCGAGGACGGTGGAAAGAGGGTCGCCGGAGTGTTCCTTTTGAATGCAGGCACAGGCTGAGGTGTCTGTCTTCGGATATATGGGATGGTCCTCAAACACTGCGCCCTTTAAGAATGAGCCCACCGGCTCTTGGAGAAACGGGTGACCTGCGGTTCGTGCAATTATCAGAGCCAGATGCACGCGGGTCCCTTCGGGAACCAGACTGGTACGCTTGAAATCTTGAAAAGCGGGAGGCGGAAACAGCTCCTGGAGGCCAGCCGAGGTCGGTGGAGGAGAGACAGAGAGAAAGAGAGGAGCGGCGAGGCTGGGAAAGAGGGGAAGGGACGGGCGAGTCGGCGTGGTGGATGAGGGCAAGAGAGCCACCTCCTGGCCACCCGGGGAACCGGCCCGCAGTTCAAAACTCCCAGGGGCGGCCGGCCTGGAACCGCCTGGTGGGCTACAAGACGCCCTGGGAGGGCACTTTGCCGGTGATCTTGTTGGAGCACTCCAGGAGGGCGTTGTGGATGTCTTTGGCGCAGGCGATCTGGGACTTGATCATGCTGAGGTACTGCGTGTAGGGCAGGCTCTCCGTCTGGACCGCGTCCGGCTTGGTGGCCGTCGGCACGAGCGTCGGGGAGTGCTTGGCGCTGTCGAAGCTCTGGGAGAGGCACTCGTAGGCCAGGCGCTGGGGAGGGGAGGGAGAAAGAGTGGAACGTGAGAGGACAGCCGCAGATGGCCCCGCTGGGTCAGAGCGTCTCACCCAACGGCCGCCAGCCAGGTGCCGGCTTTTTTCGAGTCTGTGGGCACCTCTGGAATTCCGACACAGGGCGGCGGACGCAGCCACGAGGAGGCGGAGCCAGGTGCAAAATGGCTGCCGCAGCTTCGCTTCAGTCGCCCAGTGAAGATTCTGGTGCTGTGGGGGCAGCTGCACAGCCCACCAAATCTCCGGTGCCCAAGCCCCACGGGGGTAAGCAAGAAGCCTGATAAAGGGCCAGTATTAAAGACCTCGCGTAAACGTACAATGTGCAAAAATACACGTGTTCATTAGAAAGGCAGTTAAAAACCGAGACGGGCCCAGTGAAAGCCTCGTGGCAAAGTTCCAGTGGCCGGAACTAGTGTTCCCTCTAAGCTGAGTTAGTGTGAGCTAGCTCACAATTTTTTAGCCTCTGGCTCACACATTTCTGTCTTAGCTCAGGAAGGAGGGCTCCGGAGCAAGCTGATTTATGCAGTAGCCGAATCGCTCGCTCACAACTTTAATGCCAGTCGCTCACAAAGTAAAATTTTTGCCCACAAGACTCCACAGCTTAGAGGAAACATTGGCCGGAACCCAATGTGACCTGATGTGTTTCTGCCCTATTGGGGGCCTTCTTCAGAGGTCAAACCCGTTACAATATCTCACACATTACAATAAGATAACCAATAAGTTAATACTGGACCAAAAAAGGGAAAGTTTACAAAAAAAGGACAGGTTTACAATCGGGACCACACAGC